TTCCCCCGGCCGGCGGCGGGCAAGGGTGAGCCCGGTGGCGGCGGTGTGAGGGCTCCCGGCCGCGGGGCTGGCGGTGACGTCCGGCTGCGGCCTCCTCCTGCCGTAACCGCTCCCCGCAGTCTCCCCGTAGGACAGGGCTCCCTGCGGCCGCCCCTTGGGCCCTCGGTGCGATCGTTCGCTTCAGGGATGCGTTAGGTGAAGCACGACCTTCTGCGGTCCTCCAGGGACCCGCGGATAAAACACATGTGTCATCAGAAACGTGCCCAGATCGGGTCTTGAGCCTGTTACTGTTCTTACATAGCGAGCACACAAGCTGTCGTTTTCCTTCACATAGTTTTTCTTTGCTGAAGAAGCGATGAGCCGCCCCCACGTTTTCATTCAGTAACTGCTTGCTGTCATAGTTGTGTTTTTATATCGTAGTTTTCTCGCATTTGGATAATAATCAGTCATTGAATGTTTGTGTTTGGCATGCAGAATTTTCTTGCAGATTCATGGGTAGGTCACTTATCTTTCTGTACAGACTTTGAGGAGGCTGACTGTCCTGTCAGGACAGAGTTCTCAGATTTCAGTTTTGAAGGATGCCTGTAAGCCATCAATCAGTCTGCTTGAATACTGAAAAATACTCTGAAGCGTTGGTACCCCTCTCTGGTAGGACCAGACCTGTTCCACGCACCCCTCCATTTGGTCTGTGCTCTCTGTTGTCACCTCTTTTGCTGTAAGATGAGGTCTTTGGGTTCAATACAGAGCAGGTTAACACTGCTTTGCCTCTGACAATAGACAACGTGCCAAAGTACGCTTCTTCCATTGCCTGCTCATTTGTCAGTCTCTAGTGCTGCTTCTGTGTGATTCACTTTCTTTGAATCTTTGGGAGTTTTTATGTTGTTCCGGGTATTTGGAACAACGTCTTTCCTCTTGTGCATGCAGTGTTGTTGCTTAAGGAAGTCCAATGTTTTCACTTCTCCATTGCTGACTGACAGCTTCAACTTCCAACCTGCATTGCACAGCTGTCTCATGTCTGCCCCATTTCCGAAGAGAGCCCTGCAGTGTAAAGCATGTGGTACGTGTAGGGTTCTTTAGGCTGGTGGAGAGAAGACAGCAGCTTGCTGAGTCTGTAAGAGCATAATTTTGGTGGAGCTGATGGGTGTTTTCAGTCTGGTCCGTGCAGTGCTCTTCCCTTTTTCGTTATCATCATTTGTGGTGTGACCAAAGTATGGGTGTAAACCTTTCCTTTGGTACACAAGTAGGTTGTGTATCAGCTGAGCTCATTTCTTTATAAAATGGGATTGCTTGTATTCAGGTATGTCAGATGGCTTTGTGATTAATAATTGGCACATTTGTTAATCATAACTCTGTGTTTTTCACTTTGGAAGCAGAGACATCAACCCAAGACCCCAGTCCAGTACGGCTAAAGCGTTGTTCTATGTACCTGGTATGCATAACTCTGTATTTCTGTTTCTCTTCTTTAGATGATGAAAGTCACACAGAATCAAAGCTTCAGCATGAGCAAGATAAATCAAACTCCCTTCCCATTCCTTCAGTTTCCAAGCGAATTGTGCTTGGTGATTCTGTCTGTAACATGGCAGGAACGGCTGACCATGCAGGCAGCATGGTAGACCTCAAAGGGGATAAGGACTTGTTCAGTAAAACTCCAGAGCTTGTCAATGAGGGTACAAGTGAGCTCCGTCACCGTAACAGAGGGGAACTGCCATCTGAAGCTGCACCACGGCCATCTAGACATGGATTAGAGCAGTACTTATCCAGATTCGATGAAGCTCTGAAGCTGAGGAACCAGCTGATGAATGAGAAGCCAAGCCAAGAGAATGGGAATGCAGTGGAGGAGTTTGACTCTTTCCGCATTTTTAGATTGGTGGGATGTGCTCTGCTTGCCATCGCAGTCAGGGCTTTTGTGTGCAAGTACTTGGTGAGTTCAGGGAAATAATCAAGCCTATTCTATTTTGCTAGTTTACTGCAAACTTACTGTGAAATACCCTTTATCTAGGGCTGAAGTCTATCAGTAGTGACTCAGTTGGGAACTTCAGGCACTCTTTACATTTTCAACTGTATAAAACCTAAAAAAAAATCTCTAAATTCTTTGAGATGAATCTGTATTACTAAACACAGCCACTATATAACAGCTGAGAGTAGCACACGTTTGATCCATTGTGTTTGAGGAGCAGAAGCACTTGAATACTTGTTAAGTCCCCTGCAAGTTTATTCCCATCTTTGTGAGCATGAGTCAACTGCTCTTCTAGTTTGGAGTCTACAAAAGAATAATAAAGTAAAAATAACAATGGTTGTTCCAAAACAAGCAGATCCTACTCATTTATCAGTCTTCTGAGAAAAGTAGTTCCTCTGTATTCCAGGTATCTACCAGTTCATCGTACAGATGTGTGTGGCTGGTGGAGCCTGCCACCTCCTGGATCACTGGGCTCATTTTTACACGCTGCTGTACGCTTCTGCGATTTCAGGTTCTTAGACTCAAAGAAAATAAGGCAGAACCTTATTTTTGACATGTAACTTGTCTATTTAGGTTTGTAGTATTCAAGAATACTGTTGCTATTGTCCACAAATTATTTTTTTACCTACCTAATTTTCTTTTATGACTTTGGCAGAATTACATTTCTGTGTTTTCTTAGCTATTACTTCTGACCAAGTTAATTTTCATATATTCTTCTCTTTTCCTTCAGTCAATATTTGCACCATTTCTTACTCTACAACTTGCTTACATGGGACTGTCCAAGTACTTTCCAAAGGTAAAATATTTTTTTCAGAATTAGATCAATGTTAAATGTTTTAAATTTAAAATTGTGCTTAGATTGTAGTGGTTTAAAACCAATGCATGTTAAATATTCTTCCCTTGTTTTAAACTGTAGAATCGAGAGTTACCAAATGCTTTTAGTTTATACTAGTTTTTAATCTTCCCAGATTAGTAAAATGTTTTTTAAAGTTGCTGTGAAAATGTGGACTAGCAACTTATTTAGCTGTAGCCTGATTAAAAGCATCTGACTGGGAAAGCCAGGTAGTTCTTTCATATCTTTAGGAAACTTGCTTTTCTCCTAGTGCTCTTCTGTGGTTAATGTTTGCTCTGTCAGCAGCTGTTTCGCATGTGATACCTGGACAAAATTTGGGAAGGTGTTCGTTAAAAAATTAGACAGTCCTTGGGTTTTTAAGGGTTCTGCACTCCATTGCTAGTATCAGTTTGAATGGCAACTTGAAATGAGACATTTATTTGTGCGTGAAACTTGCTATCACTTGCTTTATATATTTACACCAGCGAGACATTTATTTGTGTGTGAAACTTGCTGCTTATTAGGAAGATTTGCTATATCACTTGCTTTATATATTTACACCAGTTAATTGTGCTGAAGTGTTTGTTTGGTTGATGATTTTGTCAGGTCTACAGTGCAAAGTGGGATTGAATCATGAAAATTAAAATTTAAAAGGAATATTAGATTACCTGTAGAAAAGCAGAATAAATCAGCAGTTCTTTTGTAGTTAACTGTATCATTGAAAACTAAACTTCATAGTAGTCATTCCAAGCTGGTATGTCACAACACAAAACAGCAGAATGAGCCTCAGACTTGCACTAGCTCATTTGCTAGATCTTTTTGATCTTGTTTTCTCTGTCTTTAAAATCAGCTCTTCAGTTTCAGAATTTAAAGAGGTGGTTCCTTTCCACTTGCTTTTACTGCATTTTTAACCAGATGAGGTCAATCAGCTTGTTATCCTTCATTTTTCTCTCATGATACCTAGAAAGATTATTGAAAGCTTAATTTAGATTGGATTAAATTAAGATATCCAGCAAATATCATCAAATTACCAAATTTTTCAGCTATTATCACCTTTTCCTGCCTGTCAGACTTTGCACCTTTGGGATTCCTCATCTAAAGAAGAACAGCTTTCAAAAGGGTTTTGGGCATTTCTCAGTTCAGAGGAGAAAACTGCCAAATGGAGTCATACTAAAATAGAAAGAAACAGTTGGTTTTCAATTCTAAACAATTTTTAGGTGCTGGAAAAGTAACAGTATTTTTTGCCAAGTAGTGTGATGAGATTAATCCTGTTCTGCCAGTGGAGATGCCTGGCTTGGCTTCTTATACCCAGATTGCCCTTGTCTGGGACTCTTCCCACTCAGGCAGAAGCTGCTGCACAGCCCCGCTTTACAGCCTGCTTGGAGTGCCAGCATGAAGTGGGCATGATATCTGTGATGAATTTTATCTGCTGTTAACCAGCCTCTCGCTCAGCTCCAGTGGATCCATCACAGCATGCATCTGTAGCTAGGATAAGTGTCGTGAATGCTGGAGCGTGTCTGGGGAGAATCAGTCCAAACCTGCTGCTCTTACTGATGAACTTGGGATGCGCCTGGCTGCGTGCAAAATTGGCACAACGTTCATGACATGTAAAGCAGAAGTGGATTATAACAGAAGAACTAATGTAATACTGGTTGGTTTTTTTTTTTTTTTTCTTTTAGTGTGAGAAGAAGGTGAAAACGACAGTATTGACTGCTGCTCTTTTACTGTCTGGAATCCCTGCAGAAGTGATTAGTCGCTCCATGGACACCTACAGCAAAATGGGAGATGTTTTCACAGACCTTTGTGTCTATTTCTTTACGTTTATCTTTTGCCATGAACTTACTCTGTTTTTTGGTTCCGAAGTACCATGAAGGCTGTAGAATTCAATGCAGTAGTTACACTAAAGCTTTCTGGACTGCATTCCTTTAATGTCTGACTGTGCAGACAGGTTTAAACCTTCGTTAAATTCTTACCTGTTCAAATGCTTGAAAGGATCCTTAAATCCAGTCATTTTGGGAAAGGAAGAGCAGGATCCCAGACTGCCAGTTGTATTGGTTCAGTTTATTTAAATGCTGTGTCTGCCTGTTACAAATGTGAAGAATAGGATGCAAGTGTCAGTGGATGATTTGTTTGCTTTAGTTAGATGATGCCCTTCTCGGCCTCCTTCATAAACATTCACAAAGCTGCCTTTGTTCTTTTCAGTGAGAACAAAGAGAAGAGAATTCCTTTCAGCAGAACCATATATATATATATGTATCTCCACTATGACTATAGCTAACAAGAACTGCTCATTTTGTGGTGTTCCTATTTTTTTTTAAGAAAGCTCTAAGTGAAAGAAATCCCTGTATTCTGTTACTCAAATTCGGAATGTTGAACCAAGTAGGTGCTGCTGGAGAATGTTGGTGAAACATGGCACTGTTGTCCTAATCCTTGCCTTGCTATACATTATTTGTTGTGATTGTGATTGATTTCATTTGATGATTATCATGTGAAACAGCTAAGCAAAACCAACAACAAAGTCCGGTTGCTTACAAACGTCAATCAAAAAGTAGGAAGAAACAAAATTGTTAATCTCGCCTGTTTTGGGAGTTTCCAGCAACCCAATCCTAGTGTAGCTCATACACCTGCTTTCATTCTGATGCCTTTTTTTTATTTTACCAGCTCACCTCATGAGGAGAAAGTTGTATATGTTGGCAACCAACCTGCAGTATCAAATGTTTGCTCTAGTCTATGTAAAACTTAAAAGGGAACCTTTTTTTTTCTAGCTCCTTGCAGGATTGCATAAGACAGCTTTTAATATGACGTTAATTTCTGCAGTTTGTCTCTGTTTATTACCAGATATTTGCATGTAAACAGGCTCTTAATTGTGGAGGAGTTCTGCTCCTGCTGTGTAGCCCTACAACCCCACAGTGCAGAGTCTTTGATTCAGCAGAGCTATTGATGGTAACGGTTTTGGGGCGTTTCTGAAGTTGCCCCAGTGAAATCACAGTAGCCGTTCCCATTTAAGTCCTGTGTACCACAAGTGACAGTGAAATAAAAAATAATGCTTTGACTTGACTCCCACCTGAAGATCTATGTATGAAGGGAGAATAGCCTTTTGGGTTTTTTTTGTTTCTGTGGATGTCCAGCCATATGGGCAAAAAGAAGACAAGCACAAGTGAATCCTGTCGCTGGATAAAGTAGTGAGCTCGCAAATGCTCGTGTTTTCAATCTTGTGAATTTTGCACAGTAAGAGGAAGGCAGTGTCATTCCAAATAGTCAGCTTAAACGCTGATAATCTGTGAATATTTCTATTGAAGCTAAATTTGATATAATTGTCAACTTGTAGTTTTCCGTTTAGAATCTGGACTTTGAGGCAATCTAGGCCAATGCCTTTTTTTAGCATAGAGAAACACCTGTTTATCTTGGTTATTTGTCTGCAGACATTTTTTTAGGGAGCAGAAGTGTTTGATTATGCCCGTTTCAAGTAAATAGCCCTGCTTTCTGCTTCATCTTTTCTGTTCAAGCTTCCTGCTGTAATTCAGGCACTGCATTCCTGACTCCTAAATTAGATATATGTTTGTTTGTGGCATGCAAATAAGGAGCTTATGTTTTGATTTGCCGATTTTATTTTATTTTTTTTTAACTCGTTCATTTACAGCCAGTATCATGTCACTGGTGTCCAGGGTTGGGCTGCAAAAGATTCTGACTGAGATATATTAGCACAAATATTTATTCAGAAGCTTTAAATTTGTTCATATTAAACAGGAATTTCAGCAAATTGAAATAGCTGTCATTTAAATTAAGGTTGACATATGTAAATAATGAGTTTGCTCAGAAGTTACACTTGTTCTCTCTGTTTATATGCCCAAAGGTAATACAAATAAATTGCGAAAATACTGTGGACTAACATCTGCAAAAAGCAATGAATTTTTAATCCTCAGCATGAAGATTTTAATCCTCGTCAGCTAATTGCTAGGAAAAGACCTGACCCACCTGCTGGATGTTCAGTCAACCCCGTGCACCGCCCTCACACGTGAGGAGAGGCGAAGTGGGTTTTCTTCCCGAGGGGGGAAAGAAATGGTGCTGCGAGCCCAAACCTGGAACTTTTCACCCCATAAACACTTGGGTTTTTTTCTGATTTTTTTGGGTGAGGTGATGCAGCGACCCGAGGGGCTTCTTCACCTGCGGTCAAGAAATGAATCCCTTACAGTCCCTTTTTATCTCTCTTCGTGTACGTAATTCTATTTGATGTTTACTGCCGAACCAATTGCTTTTTATTAAAAGTATATTTGTTACCCCCTTCCTCGGCGCTTTGTCCTGGTTTGGGACGGGGGGTTGTGGAGCGCGGCGGACCCTTTGCACCGGGAATCCCGCCAGGGCAGGGTAGCAAGGACGGGGCCGAGGCCTTTGCCCGGGCCGTTGCCGTGACCCGGGCGGCGGGCAGCTGCCCGTTCCGTTCCCGCCCGTTCCGGCGCTGCGCCCTCTGGCCGCCAGGGGGCGCCGCAGCCAGGCGGCGGGCAGGAAGGGCGGCGCGCGGCAGCTTCCCGCCGCTCCTCTCGTCGTCCCGGGCGCCGAGGCGCGGAATGGCGGCCGCCGTCTAGCGAAGGGACCGCGCCGCCGCCACCATGGGCCGGGAGTCCAGGTGAGGGAAGCCGAGGCGCCGCCGCCGCGGCCGGTCTGACCCGCGCAAGGGGTTCGCCGCTGTCTCGGGTGGCAGCGCGGTGCGGGTTGGCTGCGTGGGAGAGGGGGAACAAAGGGCGGCGGCGGGCTCGCTGAGGGCCACGGCGGGCCGCGGCGCCGGGCCCGGCGGGGGAGCGAGGAGCTCGCTCTGAGGGCAGGGTTGGGTGACTCGCGGCTCCGGGCCGGCCTTTAGGGCCCCGTCCGAGGAGCGTCCGCGCTGCCCCGGGGGCTGCCGGTCTCCGAGGAGCCGTCGTGGGTCGCGGCGGCGTGTCCGGGCCCGGCGCGGGTACAAGCGCCCGGCTGCGGGGCGCGGCGAGGGGTCGGCGGTGCCGGGGCCGACGGACACGACCCCCCGAGCCGCTCCGAGCCCGCCGGGCCTTTGCTGGCTTGTTTTAAAGTAATTGCAATGGCATAATTATCCGGGTAGGCTGTTTGTTTTTTATTTAGATTAGACTTTTTTTTTTTTTGCTTGCGTCTTTCTAAGTTTATGCAGGATCCCGTATCTTTTGTCCTCTCGTAGCTGGTACCAACACCTGATGAGGTGGTGTAACCGCCTCAGCAGTGCCGTGAGCGGGTTCGTTGTGCGGTTCGGGGGCAGCCTGCGCTGCCAGGTGATCTGGAGCCGCTCACACCTATCGGGCTTTACACCGACTCCTTAATTTGCAAGCGCTGTTGTGGCATATGTCGCTGTCTCCTGGTTTAATCTAACCATCAGATTTTGACACTAAAACTGTGACACAATAGTCCCCGCGCGCAGTTGTCCCTACCCTATAACAGCCTCCTAGATCCGTAACTGAGATTGATGCTGAGAGAGGCAGATGAGTTGAAATCTTAACGACTGCCCTTGGGTTCAAATTAGTGATTCAGTGACGAGCTGGGTACTCCCATAGGTATGTCTAAATGAGTTTCAGACTCGATGAGGCAGCAGTTGTTGCCAGCAGGACACCCGTTAGAGACTCGGGCTCCAAAATCTCCTGGGAACTGAACGCCCAACTGCTGGCACTCGAGCTGGCAGGATTCCCTTGCTTGTCACAGTACAGCATCTCATCTGATAATGACAATTTCTTTCTTTTTGGGCAAAAATAATGGTAAAAGTGGGTTTAAAGTTTTATCAATTTTCTGGTTTAATACCCACGAAAAGTTTTAAAAATGGAGAAATGGTAAGAGGGTGAGAGTGAATGGTGGGTGGAGACGGGTGGGGTGGGCTGCATGTGCTGCAGTTCATGTAAATAAATATTCATCAGACTAGGGCTTTTGAAACCTGAAATCATATACTAAGCTTTATTGTACACTGTAGAAGAAAACTAAAATAAGATTCTAGTTTTCTAAAACTGAAAGTTTAGAAAAGGGGGGGAAGTGTAGAGCAGGTCCCGCGGCGTTTTGTGATAGAGGTGGGAAAGAAATTTGAGGTATCTAATGCTGACAGATGTTCTTTGCATTCAGTTCTACTGCTGATGGGCTGTATATGGATACCACACTGCTACTGATTCCAAATGTACATGATACCTAAATATACCGAAGTGCTGAAATAAACTATATTATTTTTAGTGCAGATACTGTTGTAATACAACCCTGTGTGGCAATGACGGAAGAGAAAGAAGGAGCCGGGGGGGTGCTTGAGATCTTGCCTTGTCTGCTTCTTCCTGCTTCCCCAGCCTGGCTGCTAGGCTTGTCAGGGAAAGGGGTCTGTGGGTCCTGACCTACAGGAGCGTGAACAACGGAATTATTCTGGTGTGGTGACTGAAAATCAGGAATTGGAGGAAGAGGAGATGGTCACAGTCGGGGTCCCTCTGTCACTTGTACACTCGGCTGAAGAGTTTCCTAGAGAATTCCTAGCCCTACTCTCCCACAGTGTAGCTGGGAGAAGAGAGCGTTAATGAGGGGAGAGAAGGAGACTCCCATCTCCATCACGCGCTCCTCAGGCCTTGATAACTTCTTAAAGCTTGTGTTGTGATGTTTGATGATGTTACCGAATTTCTTTTGATGTCAGCAATTGTAAAGGCATTGACCATTGCTGTGTCACATATCCTCATGGTTTTATGTTTCTTTAATTGCAGTTTTGCAGCTTTTCCATTGAGCAGAGGTATAATTTAGCTAGCTTACCTGCATAGAAGTTATATATTGTATAAAAATCAACGAAGAACAGTTTTGGTTTTTTGATTTTGAGCTTCAGAGAGTCTTTGTCTTTTCCTATGTATAATGGAAATCAGTGGATTTCTGAAAAGGAAATTGTTCTTGATGTTCTAGTGTTCACATGATATGCTTACAGTACTACTCTAAAACCAAAACAAAAATATGACCAAGTAGTCCCTCTAATTTCAGCATCGTTAGGAGTATACGTATATTAATCAGTTTGGCAAGATGATTAGAAAGGTTTGAAAATTTAAAATGTCCAAGAAATTAAGATAAATTATTCTCTTTGGCCTGTCCACCTAAATGTGACAAATGCTTTTTAACTGCAAATTGTTCTCATGCTGATGTTAATCTTTTTTTGTGAATTTACGATGCAGGCATTATCGGAAGCGCTCTGCGTCACGTGGACGCTCTGGTAGCCGTTCTAGAAGCCGTTCTCCATCTGACAAGAGAGGAAAACGTGGAGAGGACAGACGCTCTAGA